TTTTTTTTTTTTTTTTTTTTTTGAGAAATTCTTATCTCAAGGTCTTAAGGATGTTACATCTTCTAGAAGGTTTGTTTTGTTTCACACTTCGGTCTCTACCTAGGGCGGCCCTGTGTCCACGTTTATGCCTCTGGTCCTCACGTCTCTCTTCAGTTAGCATCACCCCCCTTTCACCCTCGAAAGTGCCCGTGAGATTTCCTTAAGCTTTCCTTCTAAGAGTGAGTAGCGGTGCTTTGCTCGTTTCATTCTGGCCATTGCAGGTTGCTGGCTGTTGGGGCTGTGTGGAGAGGCGTAAGGCGGTGGAGAGAAAGAGCCTGATCTGGCCCAGCTTTCACGCCTGTGGGCCTGGTGGTGTCCATCCTGGGTGCCCTGTGCCTGGGGAGAGCTGGGGTGAGCTCAGCGGAGGTGAGGCCAGGACCTGCTTCATTCCTTTCTACCCAGGGCAGAGCCCACTGTGGCAGCTGTCGGCGGAGCTCTGTCTCTGTGCTGGAAAGACCTGCATGGGGTTTGGGACAGGAAACGTCACTCTGGAGTAGGTTCGTCGTAAACTTCATGTGTGTAAATGATTGTAAAACACAAAGACATCTTAGTTACAATTGGATTGCCTGACAAGTTATATTTCCGGAGTAAAAATAGACAGTATGTTCCTTTTACACGCAGATATAACACAGGTTATATTTGGTTATGAACAGACTGTTTGAGTTTACTGCCAGTAGAAGCTCCTCAAACGCCTGTGAGCCAGTAGCCCGGTCACATAGTGTAGTGCAGAGTAATGCACAGAGCAGTGGAGGCGGGTCCTGTGGGAGAGGCTTCCGGTCCACCAGATGGATGCAGACCCCTGTGCCTCCTGGCACAGAAATGTCAGGGCACAGAAATGTCAGGGCTTCAATTAGAGGTCCGCATGTGAGTGTGTCTGCTTCCTGGAGCATAGTTCATGTTCAGCAGATTAACCTGGGCTCTCTCTGATCCACTCCTGACCCTTGTACTTTACTGTTGACATTAGTTTACCCTCCTTCACCCCTAATAACCACCTTTATACACACAACTCAAATAAACCTCAATGGGTTAGAGTCTTCCCTGCCCTCTGTCTCTCTCCCCCATTGCACCGTTTCCACTCCAGGTGTAAAGTTCTCTTGGCCCGGTTTGCGGGATCGATCCCCAGTGGGGGACGTGCAGGAGGCAGCCGATCAATGACTCTGTCATCATTGATGTTTCTCTCTCTCTCCCTCTCCCTTTTCTCTCTCTGAAATCAATAAAGACAAATAAATAAATGTGCATTTTTTAAGTTGCTAAGTCTTGGTAATTTGTAGGGTAGCTCAGAAAACGAATGTGGCAGGAGATTGCTAACATTTGGGTATGTTGCTTTGCCAGATTATAAAGTGATGCTGTGTACGTGATGCACAGGACCAATGAACAAAGCCCTTGGCCCCAGAACAAGCAGGAACTGTGAGCGCTGGTGGTTACCCTTGAGAACCAGAGCTGCCCGCCCCAGTGCTCACGCACAAAAGCCAGGTAATGAGTGAGTCGGCAATGCGTTCCCGGGATCATACACAACCCAGGTGTCCCCAAGAGCAGACACAACCACAAACACGCAGTCCTTCATTTCTTGATGACAGATTTTTAGATGACCCTGCTAATTTTAATACTAAGAAGGCAAACATAAATTTTTAATAATGCTAACAGATCAAGTCACTTTCTCAATGACAAGACTAGGTTAGCCAGTCATAAAAAACTAAAGATGGGTTGTGTAATGCTACCAAGCAAGACTTTAAAAATGCATCACTTTAAGGGAGACACAAGGTTTCAGAGAACTAAAACCTACATGAAAGGCTTGAGCTTAAAGCAACTTTATTCTGATGGCTTTGGGAAGGGTATTCTAGAGCCAGCCCCTGCCAGGAATTGGACCACCTACAGCGAAGATGCCTTGACTCTCTGGGGGACGGTATTCTTTTTCTCTGGCGCCTTCAACCCTCAAAAAATATCAAAGTACACATAGCTGTAACCCAAAAAAGTATTTTTTTTTTAAAGTAAAGGAAATAATAAACCTGTTGGTTACATCCATGATGTTGACATTTAGAGTAAGAAGTCAGTTTTCTTGCTGTTACCTTAGTGTATGCTTGCTTTGCTACCTAAGGTGATTGCACTGTTCAGGAGAACCAGACATGCCTTATTTATTTCTGCAGGCTTTGTTGTTTCAGAGTCACTGTAATCTATTTGCAATTCCTGTTTAGATGTGCAAAAAAACCCACAAAGATTTGTAAAATCTGATTCATTATACCTAAGAACTTAAATTGAGCATTAAACAGTACAGGGAGTGCGGATGTCCTCTCTGTGCCAGACGCTCCTGGGACAGTTAGGAACCTCCTCACAAGGAACGGGGCATCTAGGTTCCCGAGTCTGAGTGGGAACTTCCAGCAATCGGACATCTGTTGCATTGTAATAAGACAGGACAGGGATCACCGCATCTCAGCATCTCGATGGATTTGCAGGGATCTCTAAGTGAGAAAAGCAAATTGCACAACAAAACACAGTGGGATCCCACATGGGGAAAAAGTCAGCCCTAGTAAATTACATATACCTGTAACTAACGGAAAAAGGTGACACCACCCACTCTAAAGCCTTCACCGTGCTGCCTGTGGTGGGCCAGGGGACTCTCATGTTTTACCTAATGTGGACGCTTGATGTGCAGGTGCCTTGAGCGAGGTCCCCAGGCAGCACGTAGTGTGCGAAGGCAGTAGCCACCCCCTGCCTGTTTGCCTCTGACTAGAGTCCAGTGAGGTAGCTGCAATTCCTACCCCATTTTATAGACGAAACTGTCACAAGTGGGCTCCTAGTTAGGTCAAGGACATGGAGGACTGGAACCCAGACAGCCCGACCTGGAGTCTGTGCAAGCTGTGGGAGAGCCCTCCCTGCCTCTCTGCCTCTATCCTGATGAACTGAGGTTCCCCTGAAAACAATGAGTGACCCGGAAGATCGGAGGAGGAAGGGAAGACTGCCTGTGGGGAGGGCGCGTCTGAGGTCTGAGGTCTGAGGTCTGGGCTGGTGCAGGAAAGCGCTGGGACTCTATACTGGGGGCAGTGGAGAGCCATTGGAGGTTTCAGGCAGGGAGTGCTGGTGAGCATGGCTGAGCACCTGGCTCCTAAAGGTGGATCTTCTGGTCGTTGGCGTGAGGGGGTCGCAGAGAGACTGGACATGACAGACCGGGACCCGCAGTCCCGGGATGGAAAGGAAGGCTGTGTAGCCTTTGAAAGCGCGAACACATGACACTACCTCAATGAGGCTGTTTTTAAAAAAGAAAGAACAGACTACAGGTCCTGCTTCCCACATGTGGAAACAGAGGAAGGGGGTATGTTTTCACTGAAAGTAATGAGGAGGAAAATGTTGCTGTGTGGATGTGCTAGTTGTCGTGAACTTGCGGTGACAGCTTAGATTCGGAACTGGATCCCTCGGGCAATGGGGCGTGTGGTATGCAGTTAAGAATTACTCTGCAGGCGCTGGCCGGGTAGCTCATTTGTTTTGGAGCATCCCGATGCACCAAGGTTCTGGGTTCGATCCCAGGCTGGCGCACGTGCAGGAATCAGCTGATGAATGCGTGGATAGGTGGGACAGTGGACCAATGTTTCCCTCTCTCTCTCTCTCTCTCTCTCAGGAAAAGAAAGAATTCTTCTGCATGTCACACCTGTTGCAGTTTTTGGCTGGCAGCAGCCAGCCTGGAGTACTGCTGGTCAGTGAACACAGGGCAGGGCCTGGACAGAGCGGACCCTGCTGGGCTCCTCCCACGAGCCCGTGCTTTTTTGGACCCAGACACCAGCTTTACGCACAGCTCCTGGGTACCCCCTTTCTCCTGGCAGAGGGATAGAACTGCATGTCCCTTTCTCTTAGGTCTACTTTGGAACTGCAGAAGGAACTTGTCCAGGGAAAGCAAGCGGGGCGACACAAAAGCGGACGAATGAATGACAGTCTCATTGGAGGGGGGCTTGGGTCCTGGAATCTAGGGGGCCATTCTCACCTAGTCATGGATAAAGCCACAGTCCTCACCCCACCTGACCTGCTGACACTTTCTAGGGACCGAGGAAAAAGCCTTACTCTGGGACTTAAGTCTCTGGTGCCTGGCACATTGTGCCCTCACCTGGCTGGCCCTACAGTCCCCTCCTCTGGGCTCCGGTCTGTTTCCCGTCGCCCGGTGGTGGTGCTAACGGCAGTTCCCCTACCCTCCCGCCGGGAGTGAAGTCCAGCAGGTGGCGCCCTGGGCCTGTCCCCTGCCGGAGTCCGGCTCAGAACCTGAGAACCTTGGTGGGGGCGGGATTGTGAGGCTGCATTCTGAAGCGGCCCTCCCGGTTCCTCCCAGCGCCCCACCCCGCATGGCTCGTCCCCCGTGGCTTTCTCCTCCATCACTCATCCATGTCGTTGGCCACGGCCTGTCTTCTGCGGGAGCATAAGGGGGCTTTTCCCACCCCTGTCCGCAGGCTCCCTCGCACCACCCGGGGGCAGCTCACTGACGCCGGTCATGACCACAGTGCAAGCAGCAGGTAGGAGCCAGGGCGGGCGAGGAGGGAGGGAGGGGAAGGGGCGGGGAACGGGAGGGGGGCCCTTGCGGCAGCCGGGGCCTCTCCTCCTCCTGAGACCCCTGCCCGCTGCCGTCCTGCAAGGCCCCGGCTCCGGGACGCGCCACCTCAGAGCCGCCGTCCTCTTGCTTTGCTCTTCGGCCCGCAGGAGAGCCGAGCTCTGGGTGTTGCTGCAAAATAGAATTAATGGCTGCGAGAAGGAGACCACGACCCCAGGGGCCTGCAAGGGCCCTGTAAAAATCACCATCTGGGGGTGGTTCACACAGCCCCTTAGCCCAGGAGGTGGCCTCTCCATCTCAAGGCGGCGGTGGTCGTTTGCTTCCCTCCAGCCAGGGAAGATGCCTGGTTTGTCACCAAATGCAGGACTCTGTGAATAGTCACAAGTTCACTTCCAAGTCCACCTTGGCTTCTATCATCATAAACAATGGTGACAGATTTCACAGGGAAATACCCGCTGTAAATCTGAGTAACTGCCATTGGCAGAGGGTAGGAAGGTTTCAGTTATGTCATTTCCCCTGAGAGACCCTCTAATCACAAGAAGCCGCCCAGCGAGATCCCCAAGGGCATCAGTCATCTTTATGGGCAGCTTCCCTGGGATCTGGTCCCTCGAGTTCCTTCAAGACCAGGAATGGCCTTACGGAGTGATCCAGACCTAGCTCTAGCCTGAGGGGCATGTACTTCACTGTGGGCTGGAGCTCAGTTCTGGAGGCGGGAGGACGTAGGTTTGAGTCCTCAGCTACTACCCAAATAGTCCTGGGCAAGTGATCTTGAGTTCAATTAAATAGTTGCTGAGCACTGCTATGTTCCAGGCGTCGGGGGTAAGAGATAAGACGGCATCCCGGCCCGCAAGGGGAACAGTAGACCTGCCTCAGTGGGAAGACAAGCTCTTAGCTATCTGTGAATCNCTCTCTCTCTCTCTCTCTCTCAGGAAAAGAAAGAATTCTTCTGCATGTCACACCTGTTGCAGTTTTTGGCTGGCAGCAGCCAGCCTGGAGTACTGCTGGTCAGTGAACACAGGGCAGGGCCTGGACAGAGCGGACCCTGCTGGGCTCCTCCCACGAGCCCGTGCTTTTTTGGACCCAGACACCAGCTTTACGCACAGCTCCTGGGTACCCCCTTTCTCCTGGCAGAGGGATAGAACTGCATGTCCCTTTCTCTTAGGTCTACTTTGGAACTGCAGAAGGAACTTGTCCAGGGAAAGCAAGCGGGGCGACACAAAAGCGGACGAATGAATGACAGTCTCATTGGAGGGGGGCTTGGGTCCTGGAATCTAGGGGGCCATTCTCACCTAGTCATGGATAAAGCCACAGTCCTCACCCCACCTGACCTGCTGACACTTTCTAGGGACCGAGGAAAAAGCCTTACTCTGGGACTTAAGTCTCTGGTGCCTGGCACATTGTGCCCTCACCTGGCTGGCCCTACAGTCCCCTCCTCTGGGCTCCGGTCTGTTTCCCGTCGCCCGGTGGTGGTGCTAACGGCAGTTCCCCTACCCTCCCGCCGGGAGTGAAGTCCAGCAGGTGGCGCCCTGGGCCTGTCCCCTGCCGGAGTCCGGCTCAGAACCTGAGAACCTTGGCGGGGGCGGGATTGTGAGGCTGCATTCTGAAGCGGCCCTCCCGGTTCCTCCCAGCGCCCCACCCCGCATGGCTCGTCCCCCGTGGCTTTCTCCTCCATCACTCATCCATGTCGTTGGCCACGGCCTGTCTTCTGCGGGAGCATAAGGGGGCTTTTCCCACCCCTGTCCGCAGGCTCCCTCGCACCACCCGGGGGCAGCTCACTGACGCCGGTCATGACCACAGTGCAAGCAGCAGGTAGGAGCCAGGGCGGGCGAGGAGGGAGGGAGGGGAAGGGGCGGGGAACGGGAGGGGGGCCCTTGCGGCAGCCGGGGCCTCTCCTCCTCCTGAGACCCCTGCCCGCTGCCGTCCTGCAAGGCCCCGGCTCCGGGACGCGCCACCTCAGAGCCGCCGTCCTCTTGCTTTGCTCTTCGGCCCGCAGGAGAGCCGAGCTCTGGGTGTTGCTGCAAAATAGAATTAATGGCTGCGAGAAGGAGACCACGACCCCAGGGGCCTGCAAGGGCCCTGTAAAAATCACCATCTGGGGGTGGTTCACACAGCCCCTTAGCCCAGGAGGTGGCCTCTCCATCTCAAGGCGGCGGTGGTCGTTTGCTTCCCTCCAGCCAGGGAAGATGCCTGGTTTGTCACCAAATGCAGGACTCTGTGAATAGTCACAAGTTCACTTCCAAGTCCACCTTGGCTTCTATCATCATAAACAATGGTGACAGATTTCACAGGGAAATACCCGCTGTAAATCTGAGTAACTGCCATTGGCAGAGGGTAGGAAGGTTTCAGTTATGTCATTTCCCCTGAGAGACCCTCTAATCACAAGAAGCCGCCCAGCGAGATCCCCAAGGGCATCAGTCATCTTTATGGGCAGCTTCCCTGGGATCTGGTCCCTCGAGTTCCTTCAAGACCAGGAATGGCCTTACGGAGTGATCCAGACCTAGCTCTAGCCTGAGGGGCATGTACTTCACTGTGGGCTGGAGCTCAGTTCTGGAGGCGGGAGGACGTAGGTTTGAGTCCTCAGCTACTACCCAAATAGTCCTGGGCAAGTGATCTTGAGTTCAATTAAATAGTTGCTGAGCACTGCTATGTTCCAGGCGTCGGGGGTAAGAGATAAGACGGCATCCCGGCCCGCAAGGGGAACAGTAGACCTGCCTCAGTGGGAAGACAAGCTCTTAGCTATCTGTGAATCAGGGGTAATGTCGTCTGAGTGCCATGGCCCCGACGTGAATGATGAATCACTACACAGTGCCTGACACACAACGGAAGCATGGCAAACGTTGGCTTCTCTCTTGAAGTCCCATTTATTTTACTTTTAAATATTTTTATTGGTTTTAGAGAGAGGAAGAGAGAGGAGAGAGAGAGAGAGAAACATCATTGATGAAAGAGAATCATCACTCGGCTGCCTCCTGCATGACCCCCCGCTGGGGATTGAGCCCAAAACCCGGGCATGTGCCCTGACCTAACGGTAACCTCCAGGTTCATGGGTCGACCGTCAACCACTGAGCCACACCAGCCGGGCTTGAAGTCCCCTTTAGAAATGGGGATTCTGTCATCCTGGACGGCAATGGGGTGAAGGTGCCTCCACAGAGGAGACACAATTCTGAAAAGGTGTTGAAATCTTGGTGTGGGGCAGCTGGCTCATAGCGGCGACTTGAGCCAGCTGCCCCGTGCTCAAGTCACACGGAGTTTGTAGAGCAACCCAGATGGCAACCAGGTGCCGTTTCGACCACAGCCCACTTCCCCTCGTCATCCAGGTTTAGCGAAGTCTTCTTGGGGTCCCCCTGCCTCCAATCACAGAGTCTGGGAAAAGCACCCTGTACTGTCACTGAATGTGACAGAGAGAACAGGTGTTAAACTAACCGTGTGTGTTATGGCCACAAACGTGTTGATGTCCGCGTTTGAGCCTCTTACTAGTCTGCAGGCCAGGACACCTGTGAACACTGCAAGGCTTTCAGGGCTTTTGAGTACAGCTGCTTGGAAACGTATTCAGCCATAAGCTTGCTATCCTGAATTTACTCTCTGTTCTTGTGAGAATAGCTAGAAAATTATAGAGATGCTTTCTAGATGTCATTGCACAAGTAAGTGTGGTCCACGGGGCAGAATTGGAGTGAGGACCACCTCCTAGAGAATGGAGGGTGTAGTACAGATTTTTAAAAATTGTTTAGACTATTACTTTTTTTTTTTTAATCCTTACTGGAGGGTATTTTTTCCATTGCTTTTCAGAGAGAGTGGAAGGGAGGGAGGGCGGGAGGGAGGGATAGAGAGAGAGAGAGGGAGGGAGAAAAACACCCATGTGAGAGAGACATATTGATTGGGTGCCTCCCACACGTGCCCAACTGGGGCTGGAGATCGAGCCTGCAGCAGAGGTACATGCCCTTGACCGGAACTGAACCTGAGACCCTTCAGTCGAGGGCCAACGTTCTAACCACTGAGCCAAGCCGGCTAAGGCCAGGTTTTAATATAGAAACATATATGTTACTTGTGCTAGGATTTACCATGGGAGTTGGCATGAAGTTGTATGTCATGTAGAAATGTTTGTGCTTAATTTATAAAATATTCAGAAACATTTGCCTAGTAGAATTGTAAGGCTTACCATAAAACTCAGTGATTATCTAAGATAAACACTTAGCAAACATTCAGCAAATATTTGGTGAGGGCCTTCTCTGAGCTGGGCACTTGTAATTGGTTGCAGCCTTGGATTTGGAAATGATATTGGCTTCCTTTTTTTTTTTTTTTTTTTGCCACAATCCCAACCATGTGAGGTCCCAGCTTGAATGTGCAAGAGGCTCATGTGACGGGTTATCAGCACTTCTCAAGCCTGCCAGGAAGGGCATGCTCCTGGTTCTGACTTCCTCTGGCTCCACTGCCCCACCAGGTCAGGTCCCCTGCTGAATGCTCCCAGCACGAACATGTACACACAGCAGTTGAAATGAGACTCACTCGCTGTTATGGAAATGGCAGTGCTAAAATCTGTTTTCATGTGGGCATGGTATAAAAGTAGATGCAGAGCAGAATTTCAGCTAACTGAAAAATAGGCGCAGAGGAAGGTGTGTTCCACCTCCTTCAGCAGGAATGCATTTCTGTTAAAATCGGCAAACCTGGCTTTTCTTGTGCGCTTTGCACGGAGGTAGTGCTCTGTGATAATTAGGGTCCCGTGTGCTCGTTCTGGGATCTGACGAGTCACCTTTCCTGGCTGGGAGTCCTCAGAAAGGTTAGGAAGCCTCTCTGTGCCTCAGTTTCCTCATCAGGCTGTTGGGGGCAATCAATGCCTACTTCATGGGATGGCCGGAGGGAGAACCGAGACGTAGAGTGAGCTGCAGGCGAGGGTGCCCCTGTCTCCCTCTGCAGTGCGCTCCACAGGCCTCAGTCAGCTCTTACGCCCGGAGCGTGGCTCTCCAGCCTGATCAAGCCCCATCCTCGTGACTCACACCCTCTCCTCCCTCCTCAAACCCCACACTCCCTCTCCTGTCCTCGGTCTCAGCGCTGACCTGCTTCCTGTCTCATACAGAAAACCAGCAATCAGGAGCGAGCAGCCCCCGCCTTCCAGCTGCCCACCTGTCCTGGTGCCCCTGCCCCGCCCTCTCCCCCAGTCCTGGGGGGCTGACCCTCCAGGCCGTGGACCCCATTCCCCTAGGCTGCCTCCTTCCCTTTCTGGATCAGATTGTTCCCACCGGCTTATCAACATGCTGTTACTTCCCCTCCCCTTAAAACAAACTAGCAAACACGCAAAAGCTGGTCCTCCTGGCCCCCTCCAGGCTCTGCTCACCTTGACTTGCCCACTCCGACACCCATGTAAAATCGCAGGCCACTGCACCGCCTTGTCCACCTCACTCTGTCCTTGACCCT